CCGTGGCCGGCCACGGACCCCCACCCCCCGTTCCCCCCCCGTACCGGGCCGGGGACCGGCAACGGGGCCGCAACCCCCGGTGTCGCTCCCGCGCCTCGCTCAGCCAGCGAGCGGGAACCGGCCTGTATGTGGGATCCGAACCCTCGGGCGGGAGCGCCGCCGCGCTTCCCAAGCGGCGCACCCATCCAGTGCGCCACCGGGCCGGCCCTCACTCTACTTTTTAATTTGGAAACTCCATATTACTAAATGAACTCAGACAAGCCATATCACGATCTGACAAATTTGCTTAATGTTCTTTCAGAGCTTAAATGATTTCTCAGGATTTAAGAAAAATCTCAAGAAAAACAGTCTGATTCCATTACCATCCATCTACCTACTGGATTTCAATTATGCATAAAATGAACACTTAGAACATTTTGAACTACATTCAAAATGCTTTTATTTAGCATGGCAGTAAAAAGATCACAAGATTTGGCATCATAAAATTTGGGTTTTTGTCCTAACTTTGCTACTTGCTAGCTGTGTGACTTTGGATAAGTCAAAAACTCTCTGACCCCTAGTTTCTGCATTTGTTAAGACAGTGGATGATACCCATTTATCTTGAATATCTTAAAGATTGCTGTGAGGCTCAAAAGAAAGAATGCAAAACTCACACACACACAAAGTTCTGGAAAATCTGAAGTGCAGTACAAATATTTGGTATTATAGGACCCTATTTTCACAGATGTGATGACCCCAAAGCCCAAGCTTTTTCCATACCATGCTGCCATTCAATATCCAGACCTAGCAGCCTGGTTTCATGGTATTTGATCACTACAGTGCCCCTTACAAAAAATGCAGAAACGATACGTGCATTTTTGCATACCTCAGAAACTTCATGGGTCCAAGAATCCCTAGTTAAGCATCCCTGTCCTGTCCTAGTGGAAATCTGTTCCTATTCTTCTTTGCCTTTGCCTATCCCTCTGAACATGACAAGAGACAAAGCAAATGAAAACAATAGGATCTTTCTGAAATATGCCAGAAATGCTGACTGAATGAGCTATCTACTTACCTCATTGGAAGAACTGCTAGCAGTATGGCTTTTTCATGGACATGCCATCCAAACATGAAGGAGCTCAAGGCACAAAGAATCAGACACCGGAGAAAGCCTCTGGGCCCTTGGGGTTTAAACCAAAGACAGAAAATAGAGGGCTAGAAACAATAGGCAAAGATAAAACTTCAGTATCATTTAAAATAGGCTTTACAGAAACAGTGTTCAGGCAAATACAATTAGCATTATATTCGAAAAACAGATCTTAGACAATTCTCCATTAAACTAGGATAATTCATCCCTTTGTGCACAGTCCACCAAAATTTAACATAAAAGCAACTACACAGAAAAAATAGCCATTTGAAAGTATATATAACTCATTAAAATTAATTCTACTTATCAAAATTAATAATTAGTGATAATTTCTGAGATATATAGTATAACAACTTATTATATCTTCACAATTAGTTAATTAATAGTCATTGAACCTATTAAACTATAAAAGTTCATAGATATTATTGTGCTAATAAATTAGAATTTATCATATTGATAAACAAACATCTAGCTTTGTGTAGATGCTGGGCTGGAGTGTAACTTACAAAGACTGAGGTTTTAGGAAAAAAGTTTTGGGCCGACCCCGTGGCTCACTTGGGAGAATGCGGGGCTGGGAGCGCCAAGGCCACGGGTTCGGATCCTATATAGGGATGGCCGGTGCGCCTGCTGGCTGAGCGTGGTGCGAGCGACACCACACCAAGGGTTACGATCCCCTTACCGGTCACAAAAAAAAGAAAAAAAGGAAAAAAGTTTTTACCTCAGTTAAAACATGTGAACAAGTAGACCAGCAGAGCTTAATTATTTATGTACTGCCACATAATTAAGTAGGGTCACGTGTCTTGCTAGTAGGTGTGGATCATTTAGAAATCAAAATTAAGGGTGACTGTAATTATCAAAAGGATTGAGTTGTAAGTTCTACTAAATTATATCATGAAATTGGGGGCATCATGATCACTAACAAAAACAACTATGAATGAAGACTCTAACAGCATCTAACACATCTTAGACTCTTATCTGTTGCTCTAAGGGCCACTATTGACTCTCTCATCTCATTATTACCATCAAGACAAAACATCCACACCATCCAGACACATTTGGAATTTTGATTATTTAGCCAAGGATGAAAAAAAAACCAAAACAAATCTGTATGTCCTGGTCACAAATGTTTTCTTCTTTCTCCACAGCACGGTCCATGCCTCCTCCTCCCTGGGCTTTTCTTCTTTCCCTCACCCCAGGATGAACAGATGTTCTAATAGCCACTGGCAAGAATCTCTCTTACATCAAGGTTTTTTTTTTTTTTTTTTTTTTTTGTCTTTTTCCATGTCCGGCAACGGATCGCAACCCTCAGTGTTGCCCCCGTACCGGACCGGGGACCGGCAACGGGATCGCAACCCTCGGTGTTGCTCCCACGCCTCGCTCAGCCAGTGAGCGGGAACCGGTCTGTATGTGGGATCTGAACCCTCGGGCGGGAGCGCTGCCGCACTTCCCAAGCGGCGCACTTATCCAGTGCGCCACCGGGCCGGCCCTTACATCAAGGTTTTAATGGTAATCCTTCCTTATGGTACTCAAAGTTACTATAAGAATTGCTAGGAAATGCTTCGATCTGCAGAAGGATTATAGCCATGAAATTTATCCTACAGTTGGAAAAACTTGAAAGTTGAAATTTAATCAGCCACACAAAGAAAAGCAGAGAAAACTCAAGAAATGAATACCACCTGTTGAGTTCTTACCAATATGGCAATCAGAGTGCAGATGAGGGTTGCCAAGGGAGTCACTGAGGGAAGGACCGTATGTTGGAACTGCTGAACCAAACCGCTTGTCATTGAGGCCTTGGGAATCTTGTTGGGATCAAGAAGTTTCAATTTCAAACCTACAGAGTAAGCAGACATTTTATTTTGTTTTATTTTTATCAGTGGTGTCGGGTTAGGGCTACACTATGCCAAGTGTATGGCTAGGCAATTCTATTGTTAAAGCAATTCATAACCAAAGCCAAAATGTTTCATTATTTTGGTATAGTAAGTTTCCACTAGTATTGTCAGGGCTAGGGCTCAGACCCTTCAAACCCATTGTACAGACTGGGTCACCAGACCCCCCACACACAGGTCCACGCTAGGTAATTGGGAAAGATCCTGGGAGCCATTGACAGATGACATGAGCTCAGTCCTCAGCAGTAGCAGCAGTAGCAGAAACAGCAGGGCATCCCGGGGGCCTGGCAGCAACAGCTTGAAGCAACAGCTTGCAACAACAGCCTCCAGCAGCAGTAGTGGCCCTCTGTGGCCCCCCCCAGGGCATCCTGGGGGCGGGGGGCACTGTGGATCAGAGCCACGTGTCTTTTATACTTAAGTCCATAACCCAGGACATCTGGGTGCACATGTGCGATTATGTTAGACAATAACCAAGGAACACCTGGGTGCATGTGCATATTTACATCAAATGCTCGGCAAGATTCTGAACATGAAGGGCCCTGACCATTTTCCTTCATTTCCCTACAAATGGGGCACCACATTATGCCATTCAATTCCTTGAGAAAACAAATAAGCTGCTAAATCTTATTGCTGCTTAAAGGCCAAGATTTCATGATTTTAATTCTGTACTGTTCTACCTAAAATGCCTCTGGTCTTAACATTATAATATGTAAATCAGCTGTTTGTACTGCAACAGGGAAATTGTACAGCTTGCAGGAAACTTGCTGGCAGACAACATGAACAGTAATCTGTTCTCACCTCTTTAATGAAGCACCTCTTAAAATGCTGTCTGACCACACCCCAACTGTGAATCCTTCATTTCCTACAGGAGAAAGTCCATATTCCTAAACATGGCATAGATTGTCTTCTATGATCTAGCCCCTTCCAACGTCTCCAGTCTCATCTCTACTTTGTTAAATGTGGCTTGGACATAATGAACTAACTGTGGGTCCTCAACATTTGTGTCCTTTTGCTCAGGCTACTACTCCCTTTGCTTAGAATGGCCTACTCACTTTGTCAAGTTAACTCCTAATTCAATCACTCACCTGAGAAAATTCCTAAATCAAGAAACAGCTGATTTTCTTGAGAGCTTTCTATTCTAATGTTCATGATACTGCAACGTATTTATTTACAGGCTCATTTCCTCTACTACATTGTGTTCCTTAGAGGCAGGAATGATGAGTTCATTTCTATTCCCAGTACACAGGAGTTCAATAAATACTTATCAAATGAACCAAGTCCAAGGATGACGATGCAAGCCCCATCCCAAACAAGCTCCAGGGTAATAGGACAGTCAGGGACAGTATGAGCACTTACCTGTAAGTCCCTATGTAAAACCACTGAAAATCAGTGCAATGTGAGAAAGGTACAGACTACCAAAATGTTTTCTATTTGTTCACCTCTTTCCCTTTCCCCTTCAGCCTTCTGATGCTCTCTTAAAGCTAATAACTATCTCCCGTAAAACAAACTTGGTTAACCTGCCACTGACTTTCCATTTAAGACACATTTGATGAGGTAGATATACAAGGTAATGTACAGTAGAGTTTCCTGACTCAGACAACACATTTGGCCTTTGTAATTTATATTATGTTGGATGTTTAAAAGCTTTTTCTACAATGTTAGAAATCACTTTGTAAGGCTTCCGGTCAAGATGGCGGAATAGACGGTCCTCAGTGTCACTCTCTCCCACAAATCAGCTAATTTATAACTATTAAAAAGCAACGATAGCCAAGCTGGGCCGCTACAGCTCAGGGGTAGAGAAGGAGAGACCTATGGAGTACATGAAGGCGAGAGAAGACAGGAGAGAAAGAAAAAATGGCTCCGACCATTTCAAATCCCGGCCATTTCCAGGCTGGAGCTGCTGAGTGCGTGGAGCAGGAGCTTGTAAAAGCCACAGCTGTGCCCTGCGGATGAAGTTGCTTGGAGGTGGCAGACGAGAAGAGGGCCTTGGTGGCCCCTATGCCAGCAAGACCACTAATAGGGTTCCCATGGACCTACATAGCACCAAGGAGCCACAACAAATGAAAAAAAGGAGCTACTCAGAGGCCGGTGAGTCACCGCAAGGGACCAGTGCACAGCCCGTCCCATGGGAAGTGTTTAGAGCACAGGTGGTAGGGGAGACAGGCCCACCAGGAGAACACTGGGGCACAGCAAGGACAGCTGATCTGCGTTCCAATCAGTGTAGGACCACTCAGAGGAGACTGGTCAGGAATACAGAATTGTATGGGGTGCAGTTTGATGAAAAGACTCAGGCCCAGACCAGTGTTTCTACACAACCCAGGTGAAGCAGATTTCACTAAATCCGGAAGTACCTATAAAGTCAACCATTAAAACCTAAGCTACACAAAAAGCCTTCCCCAGGGAATCAGCTGAAAAGCAGCAATGTAGCTCAACCACAGAGCTCAAGTATTGGTCCCCACAGGAAGTTCCTCCACTTTAGAAGTAAGCAAAGGACAACAAATTGGTTCCAGCGCAGAGTCTAAGTAGTGGGAACAGCAAATAATCCAACATAGAAATGAAAGAAAAAACTCCCTCCCATAACCCAGCACACCGCCAATGCCACAGGGCTTACCCGGGGTCCTGAGGCATGAATCTGGAAGCCACCAACTACTAGGTAAGGAACATGCCAAAAACATCACCTCCATGTGGATGGCCCACCATAGCCACAATAACCACAGCTGCTGTGAAAGCAGCTAGATGCCACAACCACCATGCAGATGGTCTGCCAGTCACTGAAGTATATTTACACAAGGAGTCAGCAGCAGAGACCAAAGAAAAGAAGAGGATGTCTCTCTCCACAAAGCCCATTCCAGAGAGACAGAAGAAGCATCTGTTCTATGATAATACTGGGGGACCTGAACACACCTCTCAGCATTGGACAGATCATCTAGGCAACAAATCAACAGAGTAATCATTACTCTTTTAGAAGGAGAGAAGAAATCTAGGGTTATCAGAGTTGGAAGGGGGGAGAGAAGGGGTTGGGGAGAGATTGGACAAGGGGCATAAAGAATAATTATGATTTGTAACAATATATACACAAGTAGTGTTGATTTGATCAACACATGTCAATGTTGAATCCCTAAAATATGTATAATCAATTATGATTCAATAAAAATTAAAAACAAAACAAAAAAAATCACTTTGTAAGAATGCCATGTACACAAAGACTGGATTCACAGTGAGTGAGGGATGATATCACATTATGATTTTCTATAGTTCGTATCAAAAGCAGTAATAACAGCCAATAGGCATTTAGCATCTACCATGTGCCAAGGGCTTTGTAGCCATTACTTTTAGCCCCCTGAGGCACAGAGAGATGGAGTAACTTGCCTGAAGTGACACAACTAATACGTGGTAGAACTAAACTCAGGTCTGTCTGGCTCCAAAGTCCCTGCTATTGATAACCCAGCACTTCTTTATTCTTCATTTTGTTCCTCACAGCATGCTGCATAAGAACAGTAGCCCCCTAGCATAGGGAGGAAAGTAAGAATAGAGGAATCAAATGACTGGTCAGTGGCACACAGCCAGCAATTTTTGGAGATGAGCCTCCAAACCAAATCATCAGACTCTAGATCAGGAGTCAACAAACTATAGCCCAAAGTCCAAATCCAGCCTGTCACCTGTTTTTGCACAACATTAAAGCTACGAATGGTTTTTACATTTTAAAAGGGTTATAAACAAACAAACAAAATCACTGTGTATGGACTGCAGGGGCTTAAATATTTACTATTACAGAAAAAGTCTGCTGATCACTGCTCTTGATCCTGCCATTTTCTCACCAAGCTAGGCTCTATTCACAAATAAGAGACTGTTGAGTTATTCTAAAGTGAGTTACTTTTACTAGAACAATCTCAAGGCATAAATTATTTTTCATTACAATCCAAACTTAAAGCATAGCTTTTCATTTCTTCTCATCTCAGGCTTAAATGCACAGTTATCACTTTAGTGGTTTAATACCCAGAGTCACAACTTACATATTCTTCTTTCTTGCTTTTTCATATATTTAAGTACAAAAGTAGGGTTAACTCTGTTGAAAAATGTTTTACTTAATGCAGAACTTACCTTTAAAAAGTGTCTGATTTTTTCCCCCAAGGAAAGAATCAACAACCTCATTGCCACAAGGAGCTTTTATAAGGAATGCAGTCTGTGCACTGCACTAAAAGCCTCAGTCCCCAAAACTGCCCTCCCCTGTTCATCCTGAGAGGTGAAATGAAGGAATAGAGAGCAAACAATTCAGCCACATTCAAAACACAAAGTTTTTCTATTTCTCGATGTGATTAGTCCTTTCAATATTCATAGTCTAAGTAAAAAGGTACCATACCAATAACAGACAGCACTTTGTCCAAAGCGTTGTACAAAGCCCAGAAGTTTGGAGCCCAATACGCATGGCAGAGGCCTCGCTTGAAAGGAAAGAGTCGAGAAAAGACTTGAGGCAGTTGGTTCTGTTAAAAAGAGAAATGACACTGATTAAACAGTTGTCAATCTTTCCCAAAGTCAAAAGGAGAACTAGTGGCATAGTGTGTATAAAGTTATGAGGTCTGGGTTCTAGTCTTTGTTCCTTCAAATAGGTACTTGTATGATCCTGAGCAGTTCACAGAACCTCTTTTTTTTTAAAAAAAAATTACTGGTAAGGGGATCTTAACCTTGACTTGGTGTTGTCAGCACCACACTCTCCCAAGTGAGCTAACCGGCCATCCGTATATGAGATCTGAACCCGTGGCCTTGGTGTTATCAGCACCACTCTCCCAAGTGAGCCACGGGCCGGCCCTCACAGAATCTCTTTTTGTCTAACCTTTTCAACTGTCCAGTGGGACGAGATACATAAAAATACTTTGAATACCAGTCCACACTATTATGACATAAGTATAATAAAGAAAAGAGTTTACAAGGTACAAAGGAGAGTACAGACTGTAGCTTATCCAAGTCTCCTGGAGCAACTAATCAATTGTAGGGAAGACTACAAAAGATGTGGTGCTTTTCAGTTTTATTTGGAATTAAAATTGATTAGTTTATTTCAGGGTAGGGAAGAAGGGGAAAAAAGAAAAACATTTGAACATCTATTACTTTCTAGGCACTTCAGAATCTTTGCTGTCTGTGAAAGACTGCAAAATAATTGATTTTGGGGGTTACAAATAAATTTTAGCAAGTAAGTAAATTTGCAAATACAGAATCCACAAATAATGAGAATCAATTCTGTGTGTCTATGTTTGTCTAACACCTAGTTAAATATATACATATACATATTTGAATATGCATAAAAATGTTTGAAATAATACCACCCTAGTTTTGGAGAGTCATACTGGGTAGGAGGAATAAGAAAGAAATAGCATTTAATTTTTTCATATATTCCTGGCTTTATTACTTTTTTTCTAAGCAACAAAAAACATGTATTACTTTATTAAAAAACAAACAAACAAAAAAAACACTTACCAAGGCTAGGAATGGACCCAATGAAAGAGCAGAAACTAGGAAAACAACTAGTCCCAGGGAAATAACACGGACAAAGCTGAAACTGTTCCATCGGATAGACCCATCTACAGGAAAGGAACATTTTCATTAACCAGGAGCATGGAAAGCCATAACCTATACCATGTACTGAAATTATAAGTATCCCCTGATAGTATACCAATCTTTTTGTTTATTTGTTTGTTTGGCAGCTGGACAGTAAGGGGATCTGAACCTTTGACCTTGGTGTCATCAGCACCACACCCTACCAAGTGAGCTAACTGGCCAACCCCCAATCTTTATGATGTGGCAAGAGCAGAGAAAAGTTGGAATGGATAAAGAGTTTATAGGATCAGTAGCTGAGATATATCATAAAACTCTCTTATCAAGCAAACCACCAACTCAACACAGTAAGGAAGAAAACAAAAAACAGTTTTGATATTATCACTAAAACTTGCCTGGTTTATTTGCAGTGAAACAGTAAGATCGCAGCAGATATACACCATAAGCTGGTGCTACATAGAGATAGATGTGCTTGAAATGTAGGAGAACAGCAAAGAGAAATGCTCCTTCCATATGCCTTTTCTAGGAGATTTAAAAGGAAATATCACTTTAAAATTCAGGATAAATGAAATGCAGTAATGTAGTATCCTGGATTGGATCCTAGAAGAGAAAAAGGACAGTGAAAAAACTGGAGAAATTCGAATGTACCAATTTAGTTTCTTAGTCTTGTTGAATGTACCATGGTTATGTAAGATGGTGACATTAGGGGAAAATGGGTGAAGGGTACACAGGAACTCTCTTACTATTTTCACAACTTTTTTGTAAAGCTAAAATTATTCTTAAAAAAGTTTATTAAAAAATAGAAAAACAATACATATTTATTATTTTATTTTATTTTTTGGCAGCTGGCCAGACAATACCTAGTTTTAAAGATATAGTCTGAAAACAAATGAAATATCATGTCTGGATATATTTTGAAATAATCCTCTGTGTGTGTGTGTAGACCACCATACTATTCTCTCTATTTTTATATGATTTAAATTTTCTATAATAAAAAGCTTTAAAAATTCAAGGTAAATATTCTACAGGCAGTATGAGAACACAAGCAATTCCAACTAGCTTATATACTGAGTCTAGTCGGTTCACAAATTCATTAATTTCAACAAATATTTATGAAGTACTAAGCCTGATGCTGATATATAGGATATATGCTCAGTAACAAAATACTACAAATTCTGCCTAAGGAGTTAGAGCCCAGAATTTAATTACCCCTTACAGTTTTATGATAGCTGGAGTTGATTTCCAAAGAGAAGCTGGGAATGAGAGTATGAATGGATACATATGATGCTATGCTACTAAAAGAACATTTAAATAATATTACAGATCAGGTAACTTACCAGTGCTATCAGGCTGAAGACACCAGGTATAGCACTTGATCCTAACAAACTACCTAGGAGATCTAAAGGTATTCTGATTAAAAAAACAAAAATGACTTGACTACAACTAAAGAAATCTGAATTCTACCTACTTCACAGGAATTTTGGAAGAATCAAATGAGATAATAGTCCTGGTGTTCAGCAGGGGAAACTACTAAAGGGACCACAAAAGGTGAGGTTCCTTATTAGGTGTGCTATAGGAGAGGGTTGGTTAGGAATAGGAATGGGATGCTTCCACATCGCTCTTCCCCAAGTTTATTACTTATTTAAGATCCAGATTAAGATCTAACTGATTCTATAGTCAAATTTTAGTTCATTTATTCAAAAACCATCCAACAGACATTCATTAAATACTAATTATCTTCTAAGCACTATGTGGCTTTTAATGGGTAAAGGAGAAAAAGGTTTATCCAGATATTTACAGTTGACAAAGAATTTTAAAAGATTATCCAATTTGATCTTTCCAAAGTCCCTGTGAGGTAGGTAGCCCCATTTTACAAATAAGAATGTAAGGGTAAATCTCAATTTATGGATGAGAAAACTGAAGCCAAGGGTTAAATGACTTGCCTTTGGTTAATGGTTCCCAAACCTGACATGTATCAAAATTCCTTAGAGTCCTAAACACTCAGAGATTTTGATTCAGAAGGGTGACCCAGAAATCTGAATTTCTGGTTTTCTCCTCTATAAAAGGAGGATATTAATTATAACAACTTCACAGAATGTTTGTGAGGTTTACTCAGTAAGATATTATATGTATCTAATCTGAAGCAGCCAATGCACTTCAGTCACCTCTGAGTCACACATCTAAATTCATATTTTCCATTACACTATACTACATGTTTCTGATGGTAAAGCACTGTAATCATAATTATTACATTATAAAAACTGCTGGAGATTTCATTCTTACATAAATGATTTCATTCTTACAAACATTTACATAAACTAAAGTTTAATTCAGGCCTACCACACTCTATTAAGTTTTTAGAGTATAATTTTGTCATCTGTAGAATGAAGAAAATTGTCAAAAGAGGAGATGGAATTTGTGAGAAATACCCAATAACACTATCTATAGCACTTGGCAACTCAAAACAGTTGGTCAAATAAATTTACCTATTACCCACACTTTTGCCTTCACAAGCTAAAAACTGAAGGGGAAAAAAATATAATCTTGTGTTTACCTGAAATAATCGTGCAATGGAGAGTAGCATTAATCCAAATAAAAAACCATTGTACTGGAAATGAATATCTGGACTTGATGTCAAGGAAAGACAACAGAAGATACCAAAATCATAATGAATTGTGCCAGCCCATTGAGTATAGAAATTGTAAATGTAGCACGCTGCCTTGTAACACCAAGGTCAAGGGTCTGGATCCCCATGCTGGCCAGCCGCTGCCAAAAAAAAGAGAAATTGCAAATGCTTTTTTTTTTCTTCTTTGTTTTGTTTTTGTTTCTTTCTGTCGGCTGGCTTGACCTTGGTGTTCTAACAGTCTGCTCTAACCAACTGAGCTAAATGGCCAGCCCAGCCCACAAGTGCTTTCTTAATAGGTAAATTGAAGACAAAAATATTTCTACTAGTTTGGACTTTTCAAAAATGTGCTTTCTGTAAACGAAGTCAAATCCTGCACAAACTCTTTAACTAAAACTTATGTTTAAGAAGAAAAACAGAAAACTTGCCCATGTGTTTTCTACCTTAAATGTCCAGCAGCTAAGGGGCAAGAAGTTTTTGTTTTGTTTCGTTCTTTTAGAATGCGGAATGAGAAAGGAAGAGACCTAACAGCTACTGAAGGTCACTAGCATGTACTCCCTTGGACTCCATTGTTTACAGTACGTACAACAAGTCTATTATTAAGCTTCACTATGAACCTGTGAGGTAGTTAGAATTATCTTCTTTTGAGATAGTTTAGAGATGTTAATCTACTCATGGCCCTACAGCTATGTAACTAAGATCTGAGTCCAAGTCAGACTGAAACCAAAGTCTGGGTGTTCTCCTCCACATCAGGCTACCTCTATGAAAATCGAAAAATATTAGGCTTGTATCATTAGGATTTTAATTACATTCAAATCCTTTAAATTTAAGAACTTTGCCTGTTCACATGTTGTAAGCCAAAATGGTAGAAAAGCATGCAGGCCTTACTATTCCCACATGCAACATTGTAATATGCCCTTTCCTATTGAATGTATTTAGAATAATATATGATAAAACTATTTAATATATATGTATTAATCTAAAGACAGTTAACAAATCTCATTATATTGTTTTACTGATGGTTTAAATGGTTCTCACATACTACCACTAACTTTCTGGGACAAAGTGCTTTAACAATCAAAGTCCAGTAAAGTTGGGCAGAGACCACAGTTTTAAGAGCCCACTTATTTACCCCACACTTTTTTAAAAGCAGCTCACATTTCACAGTCATCATTATAGAAAGAAACTTACATTAGCATATATTGGAATAAGTAAGGGAATAGCACATAGAATATCAAGGATACGGTCCACAATTAACAACCCGAAGTTCCATAGCAGTAATACTGATAGAATAAACTTTGGCTTCTCTGTAAGTTCTTTACTTGCTTTTTTCCCATCGATGCATTTACAGCACCTACATTGAAACACCAGGAAAGAAACAGAAACAACTCTGATATTCATTAAAACATCACAATACTTCTTCAGAGTACATTATGATATATTTTATTAGCCATTCCTGACAAACTGTTCATGCCAGTCTTGATTTCTTAAAAAGGTGGCAGCTAAAACAAAGACTTCAGGGCCAGTTTCAATTCCCTTTCTCAGCTATGCTGATCTGAAACAAAGTCCTCATTTTACAAAAATGAAAATAAAAACCAGTTATCTCAGCTGGTTAAAGCACGGTGGTGATAACACCAAGGTCTACGGTTCCATCCCTGTACTAGCCAACTGCCAAAAAAAAAAAAAAAAAAAATCCTTACTTTTTGGGTTTTAGATTGGCTGGTTTTTAGGGGTTTTTTGGTGGCTTGCTTGTGTGAGGATCGAACCCTGTACCTTACTGCTATCAGCACTGCCCTCTAACCAACTCAGCTAACGGGCCAGGCCCAAAAGTAAGGATTTTGAAAATTGAGAGGGCACATGCTATTTCTGCCCCTATGAGTAAAAAATATAGACCAGGGTGATTTAGTACTCTAAATTACATATCTTCATACAAGCCAAATTAAGAACAGAGCTGCAAACTTGCAGCTCCTAACTGTTGAAGAAACAAACAAAAAAATCTATGTAAAAATGTATGTTATTTAACTATTGAGATATATTATTAAGTGCCAACAGCAGGTGACAAAACAGTATGATACCATTTTTATTTCATAAAAATTATATTCAGACACAGAAAAGAGACTGAATAATATGCATCAAAATGTTAATAGTGGTAACTATAGGTGGGGGAATGTGGGTCATCTTTGCTGTGTGTGTGCTTTCCCATTTTGACAGTGATGACGTATTATTCTATAAAAATAATATGTTTAAAATGTGTTACATTTGAATATTGGAAAATTCTAAAAGCAAAGAAATCTGAAACAAATAATAGACTCAATTAAAGAGGGACTAGCAAAGGTATCCTGCTTTTCCCCCAGGGAGACTCAGTTTCCTCATGAATAGAGATAATAACCTTATAGAGCAATTGAGAAAATTAAATGTTAATGTATACATAGTGCCTGGTTCTGGGAACTGGCCCATAGATTTCAACAGTCTTAGTAACTGCTCCATCTACTTTGCAGGTGGAAATGGATTCTAATCCTTCTCCCTTTCTGCTCATACACTTTCCCTAAGAGCTTGAATTCAAACATTTTGAGTTAAAAGAAGTGTACTACAAATTGCCTTCCCTCCCAACTCTTGCTAGGTTATAAATAGACTGAAAGTTAGGGTGTCAAACAGGAGTTACTCAATGAGAATGAGCAGGGGTTAAGGCATTCTCAAGAGACTCTTTTCCTGACTTGGGCAAGGGTTCAGTCTAGAGGCCTCACAAATAAAAACAATCCATTTATGACAAGGGTCACTGAATAGATACCAGTTACTGCTCTGTCACGATCACAACTGCAGGCTTAGGACAAAATGGAAACCAACATTAAGTGAAAACTTAACACTTGGAAGTCACTGTGCAAGACATTCTGTATATATGTATTCAACTACTTAAAATGAATTTTTAAGTAAAAGATGTAAAACATAAAAATACAAAACATAAACATAACTTAAAATAATGAAGAGTATTCATGAAGGAAAGAATCTAGAAACAACTAAAAGGACTAAGATTTCTGACTTTATGGGAACGTAAGCTCCGTAAGCATAGACTTTGGTCGTTAGCACAATGAATACGTGTGCACGAGTGTGCATGTACTGTGTATATGAATGTGTATCCTAAAGAACTGGGCAGGTCACAGAAGCCTTTGGGCTTCTGTGGAAGGAAGAAAGAAAGGCATATGGGTGGGAGAAATGGCCCTGGAACTCTACTTAAATTCACAGCATTTACAATCTCTTGTTCTGCCTCTAACTTATAACCCCACCTTATCCCCAGTCTTCCAAAAGATTCAGCTACACTGCTTACTGTAAATACTCATGTAGTTTAAAGCACAGCACAGTTTTTCATTATTCTAGCATTTGCTATTATATGAACTTTGTTTCCCCTACATTAGGAATAAGTTAATACTATTTAATGCTATAGTATTTCCTAACACCTTCCACACAAAATGACGTTCCCCAGACTTACTCGTGGACAGCATACACAAAGAGTGCATCTGTAAAGATGACGGAAAATCTCTGGAAAAGTATGGTCCGTGGGCTGGAGTAATTCAGATTATGGACATTCAGCATCTCTTGATCAAAATATTTGGCAACATGTGACAGCACATACTCCAACCATGCAAAAAAAGGGGGGTAATCCAAGGTCCACTCTGAAGTTGCCTGTGATAAAAATGGACGATAAAACATATCCTAAGTAACTGAATAAAGAAAGGTGGTGTAAAGATTTAAAATTTTTCTTTTTCTGGCTTTTCAAAAAGCATAATAAAATGAAATCACATTTAAAATATGCCCTACATTAATAGAGCAATTTCTGTGTAAGCCTGAGCAGAACACTAAAACCTGTCTTACAAGTTACTTAATATGGTGCTCGCTTCGGCAGCACATATACAAGTTACTTAATATGGTCTTCAATTTCCTTAAATAGAGTCAACTATACTTTAAAGGAAATTAATCTGAAACCTTGAAATAATAAACTTGGTCATGACATGGTTCTACTCATCTCAATACAAAAAAGGAGCTACAGCATAACAAATGACTCACCTGCTTGGGTTCAAGTTCTGTACCAGAGACTCAATTTCTCTATTTGTAACATGAGGTATTATGAAGGTTAACTGAGATAATACATATGAAATATACTTACAAACAACAAAATGCTACATAAAATGCTACTTATCTTTTGTTTCACTATGTTATGTGATCCTTGAGAGTACAAACCACCCTTTGTCATTTTGTATCCTGAGCATTCAGTAAGTGCCTGATCATTAATTAAATGAACAGTCATTAATGAGTAAATGAAAATATACATATGAAAAATATACAAACTTTAGAATATTAAATATTGTGTATACACACGCACTTTTTTTTTTTTTTTTTTTTGCAGCTGGCTGTTATCATAGAATATTATACTTTGTTAGATTTCTCCTAAGTCTTGGTTTTCTTTCTTTCTTTTTTTTTTTTTTTCCTTTTTGTCTTTTTTCGTGACCCGTAACGGGATCGCAACCCTCAGTGTCACGCCCGCACCGCGCTCAACCAGTGAGCGGACCGGTCTCTATATGGGATCCGAACCCTCGGCGGGAGCGACGCCACACTCTACCGAGTGCGCCACCAGGCCGGCCCTTGGTTTTCTTATCTATACAACAAGTATGGTTATAATACTCATGGGTCATTGTATTTCATTTTATACATATGTGTAAAATACTATATATATAGTATTGAACTGGATACAAACTATCAATAAATACTGTTTTTATTATCATTTAAAAAATTATTACTATTATTGTAGGATGTCCCTAAAATTAAACCTAGGCCTTGCACCTGAAAGAGCTGAAACAGTAGTCATAAACTCCCTACACTGTATTTGTTGCTCTTTTCCATGGAAAACTCCTCTCTCTCTGGAAGTGCACTATGGGTTCACTGGGTACTAAGTAGGCCCGCAGATACTACTGTTTAGGGTCTTTCTGTGATATAAAATGAGGTGAGAGAGACTCAGACAAACTACTTGTTAGCTCTCTTGTTTCTGAAGAGGATGAATGACAACTGTAGGTCCTAAGAAGAAGTAGCCTGCTTACTCCCCCAAATGTATAAAATGCAGAAGCTTACATGACCTAAGGCAAACCCAGGAGCTCTCTGTCTAGGGCACTCAAGCTGTGAAACCACCCATTAAATCTTACTTAATGAAAAATTTCCTCTCTAATCTCAAGTCTCTAATATGAGGTGTAAACATGACAAGCCACTGAACTGTGGAAAGAAAAATTAGAAACTCTACTTTTAAATTTCCATGTTTAATAGGATATTAATAGAGCAGTGACTTTATAATCTATAAATAAAGATATATTGGGTAGAAAATGCTCAAAGATAATTCTTTGCTAAAATATGGACAGTCAAAAGACAGTTTTTAAATTATTGTTCATGTAATTCTAAGAAATTCAACATGAATTTATACTTCACTAACATCTGTACTTTCCAGCTTCAATTTTATTTATTTTTTAAAATTAAAATTTAATTTATTTTTTGGTGGCTTGCCAGTATGGGGATCCAAACCTGTGACCTTGAGGTTATAAAGCTGTGCTCTAACCAACTGAGCTAACCGGCCAGCCCCCAACTTCAACTTTAAAAGCTAGAGTTCATTCTACCCTTAAAGAGCCATTATTTTATTGAAGCCTAAAAATTTTTCCTACTTTATTTTACTGGTTTATTTATATATTTTAAAAATGGGGAACAGGAAGCATTAAAAGAATTGGGGTGCTGCCTGAGATAAGGCCGTTTTTCTAAAATAAAGTGTCCTTGTTCTTCCTCTGCTATTCCCAATCATCCTACACTTCTCAGAGGGTCTCTGTGTACCCCCCCCCCTCCACGAAGACCTTGCAAACTAGCCCTAGAAGGCCCTCTTGACCTCAAGGATTTCCATCTGGGGCCACTTTTTTACCTAAACAGATTTTGGGAAGCCAGGGAAACTTTTAGCTAATATTTCCTCCCAAGTGAACAGTTCAGTCACTTAACTAGGAGGAGGTAAAGTTGGGACTCAAATCTGGGTCTCCTGACTCCAAATCCATTAGCTCAGGAAGCTACTACAATAGAACTATTTTTTCAAATATTGAAACATCCAACCTGCACATAAGAAGATTCAAAACAAATGTATTCATCCAACAAATATTTATTAAGGGACTTTTTTTGGTGTCTTTCTCAACCAGTCGACCAATCCAATTTGAGGCCAGAGGAAAAAGATAAAATCACAGATAAGGTAGGCTCCACAAAGCAATCCCATCTCCTCATGTCCACTCTCCAAATATGGCATAAAAACCCTACTTGATCTGATTGGATACACCTCTTCAGCCTCATCTCCTACTATGAACCTCCTCGCCAACCATGTGGTTTTGCTCCTTGTTGGTTTTGTTGCTGTTGTTATAGTTGAGGAGGGCAGGAAGAACAAGGTAAGTATACCTCCGAATCTCTTTTATATAAACCTCTTCTATCGAAAACAGAGCCAGCTGCCAAAAATAAAAAATAAACTAAAACAGACATCGGAGACACCTCTGGCTTAAATAGTTTTAGGAGTCCTAAGATAACAGGTAGTAGTCAAAGTTATAGGAGTAATGAGAAAATACACAAAAAGTATCACAGAATTAAAAGAGAAAAGGACACAAATAGAATCCCAGAGAGTACCAGCTTTTTAAGGGGTGTGTAGATGAAGAAGAGTTAGCAAAGGAGACAAAGGAACAGTCAGAGAGAAAGGGATAAATGGCAAGACAGGAGACTGCCTTTTCATTTATAGGCTGATTACATTAAATATCAATATATTATATTAATAATGCTAATTATTAATAACTCTTAATAATGTCTACTGAGCACTTTTGTTCCAAGCACAGTGCTAAGTGCTTCATGTACATTATGTCCATTTCATCTTAATAATTATTTATTATCATTTCATAATTGGGGATATTGAGTCTATGAGAGGTCAAGCAGATTGCCCATGGTCACCCAGCATGGCCAGTAAGTGGCAAAGTTGAAAGTCAAATCCAGATAGTCTGTAACCATAGCCCCAACTCTTGACCACTAGACCACATATTAGTCTTCTAGTTGGTACACATACATGCAAATTGAAATATTTCACATTAATTACTTAAAGTTCCTTAGCATTCCTATGAAATATTTATAATGTTATATGTGAGAATGAACTTAGTCACTGAAGGGGACAATTGTTCTTAAGCTTTCTCAGTACAAAGGACTATTCTGACTCAGCCAAAAAAACAAAAAGCAACAACAAATTCACAGAAAACTTGTCTTAAAAAATATCTCCCTGACCGCAGAGTGCTGATTTTGATCAAGACATTTCTGAGGTAAAGTCTATTTTTCATGAAGTGTAACATACAATTTAGTAATTCATACTGGAAATGAAAATACGGACATGGTTTTTATAAATAATAATTGGTGAGAATGATTTATACACTACCCGATGCCTACACATCATATTTGTTCATTTCTTTGCTCATAAGAACACAAAATATTAGGGATAGACAAGATCTTAGGAAGGACTCATTCTAAATACCCATGTGCCAGATGAAAAACTAAGGCACAGAGAAATGAAGTATCTTTTCTCTGACTAGCTAACTAGTTAGTGACAAAGCCAGGCCTAGAATCCAATTTTTTCTCTTTTCCAATCCAATGTTCTTTCAAAAAGAGTATGTCAGATATTATAATTCCCAATTTATAGACTGGGAAACTCATTTTGAAGTAAGGAGATTCTGACACTATTAGGGAACAGTGTCAGAGTCCCCTTACTTCAAAATTGTGTTCTTTCCCCGATTCTGCCCTCTCACTGTGTCAGAGGGCAGAATTGGGGAAAGAACACAATTTTTATAAAGATTAATTAGACCCATGATTGCATGGAAAACTGTTTTAATATCAATAATGTTTACATAGTTTCACACACCATCTTAAAAAAAAAACCCAATAACCAAAAAGGTCAAAATACAACTTACCTCATAATACCACTGTGATATTGGCAAACTGTGAGTGATAGCAAGCCAGTTTCGGTGTACTTCAAAATCTGTGGAATGGCTACTCGAAGCAATTAGATCAATAATATGAGATTATGCAACATTTATCAATTTCTAATTTCCATAATTATGTTGTTAAATGGACAGAACCCCCTACACAGTCACAGCTCACTATCCTAAGGACACAAATAGGCATTACATAATTCTGAAATACCTCACTTACGTGGAGGTCAGACTTCCTTCTGGAAAGTTGTTAGGGGATCTAGAAGTCACTGCAAAGGGTCTTAGCTATCTAAAAAGCTGACAAAAATTCCATACTTTTTCTTTCTTTCTTTTTTTTTTTTTTTTTTTTTTTTTTTTTTTTGGTGGCTGGCTGGTTTGGGAGCCGAATCCATGACATTGTCATTACAAGGCTGTGCTCTAACCAACTGAACTAATCCCCATACATTTTCTTAAGGGAGGACCCCAGGCCCCAGAAGTGACCTCCTTTTTTTTTGGTGGCTGGCCAGTATGGGGAACCAAACCCTTGACATTGCTGTTACAACGTACTCTAAACAGCCACTGTAACTGGCCAGCCCAGAAGTGACCTACTCTTGCTCACAAACAATTCCAACAAAATTCATTATCTGGAAAACGCTTCACATACAAGCTGGATCTTCAAGGGTGAGTTGGAGTTCACCAGACAGAGAAGATGAAAAAAGGCCCTTGCCATGCCTTTCCCATGTCTCCAAATTCTCCCTGTCACTATATGTAAATATATCCAAGTATCTCTCAACTTTAGTAGAAATTTTTTGTCTTCTGCTGTACCTGACACATGAATGGGCTCAACACATTCTTGATGGATAACCACTCGCCCAACTCAACAACGAGTCTCACAGGAAAGTCCAGCTGACAATTTGCGATGTTTTACATGACATTTCCATGGTGAAAACTTTCTCCTAAGACTCCTAGCCAACCCCTTCTCAGTTTCAATCACAGCTTTTCCTTCCTATATTCATCCGGTAAATGCTGATGTTCCCCTAGGTTCAATTTTTGGTCCTCATTTTATGCAACTTACTGTGCTCTGGACAATCTTATTCATCCCTTTTGCTTCCACTATCAAACATATAATGATGACTCCCAAATTGCAATATGCAAGCTTGGTCTCTTTCCCAAGTTCTAGAGACTGACATCTCCAACTTCCTGCTGACAGTCTCACCTGAATATCCTACAGATTCCTCAAAATAACTACTCAAAACTGAAATAATGGCCCAGCAATTCCAATTCTAGGTATATATCCAACAGAAATGAATACATATGTTCACCAAAGATATGTACTATATAAGAGTGTCTAAAGCAGCACTATTTGCAACAGGCAAACAGTAGAGATAATCCAAATGTCCATGAACAGTAGAACAGCTAAATAAATTATGGTATACTCATGGACTACTATAGGACAGCAGTTCTCAAAGTGTGATCCAGGGACTCCCAGGGAGACCCTTGGAGGGAGGACAAAACTATTTTCATAATAATACTCAGATGTAATTTGCCCTTTTTTCATTATCATTCTCTCATGAGTATACAGTGATATTCCAGAGGCTACATAATGTGATGTTGTCACTCTGACGGCTAATGGAATTTGTGCTTGTATATTATTGTGCTTTAACGACTTCTCAGTTTTAATTTCTAAAATGATAAATACCTACTATACAGCCCACAGGGTCCTCAATGACTTTTAAGAGCTAAAGGGATCCTGACCAAAAAGTTTGAGATCTTCTGCTGTACTGTGACAAGAATGAACAAACTATAATTACATGCAACAACATACAAACAATGTTGAGTGAAAGAAGCCATGCCCAAGGGAATATGTTGTATGATACCACTTGCATAAAACTCAAAATAGGCAAAATTTAACCTATGGAGTTAAAAGTCAGAATGTCAATACTGTTGGTAGGGTGGGGAAGGGATTCACTGGAGTCATGAGGAGCTTCTAATAGTTTTCTACTTGATCTAGATGCTATTTACAGATACATCCACTCTGCAAAAATTTAGTGAGCTCTACATTTATGATTTGTGCTTTGAATATATTATACTTGACTGGGTATAGAATTCTAGGTTGAAAATTATTTTTCTTGGAATTTTGAAAGCTTGCTCCATTGGTTTTTAGTATAAAATGTTGACGTTGAGAAGGCTCATTCCTTTATGATTTTACCCTCATCTCTGGAAGTTTCTTCTTTCTATCCCTAGCAGTCTGAAATGTCTAGTGATTTATGTCTTGGGTGGGGATTTTTTTTTTTTTTTTTCATTCATTCTGCTGGGCACTCAAGTGTCTTTCAGCTCTGGAAAATTTTATTATTTATTTGTTAATCTCCTCCCCTCTGTTTTCTTTTTCTGCAACTTTTATTAGTAGGATGCTAGATATCCTAGATTGAACTTCAAATTCTTATCTTTTCTCTCACATTTTTGGAAGATTTACTCAATTTATCCTTTTTATACAATTTTCGGGGAGAGGGAGCAGCTGGCAGGTACAGGGATCCAAACCCTTGACCTTGGTTTAACAACACAACACTCTAACTGAGCTAACCAGTCAGCCCAATTTATCCTTTTTATTTTAATTTTGACAATTATGTTTTCTATTTGTAAGTACTCTTCTCTGATTATTCCTGTTTCTGTTCTATTAAAAATAGCATCTGTTCTATTTTTAAGATATATCTTTTGGCTCTCTGAAGATAGCATTCAGAAGATTTCAGGGAGTTAGAAGACATTTTCTTTTATTAGTTGCACTATATTAATTTCCTTTAGTTTTTTTTTTTTGGCTGTTCTTGTTATTTAGTTCTTTCCTGTTAGAAACTGTTGGAGACTTCACTTTGTGCTGACCAGATATAGAGCGGAGAGTTTCATTAGGAGACCCCAAAAGATGGTAAAGGTCTTTTCTCTGGGGAGTGTTTCAGTTCCTCCAGAGAATAAACCTGATTTGCTGCTTGCACTCTTGACCTGAGGGTAGAGGGATGAGGTAGAACATGGGGTGAGAAGGGTGATTAACCGCTCTGTGTAGATTTCCCACTAATCTGAATTTTCTGCCCTTTGCCTTACTTCTGCCTTCCACAGAACCTGGTACCTCTGAGTCTAGAGATACTCCTACTTAATTTTCTCAGAGAGGAAACCTCACCTTTAAGGGGAATAGATGCCAGTTGCTAGCATTATGGGACAGCAGATCTTTTTTTTTAAAATGTATATTGATTGTCAATCAATTTCCCAGTTTTGAGTCCCATGTATTGAAGTCTTGAACCCCTTTAGGCTTCTGCAAGGCATATAAAGTCTTTTCTTGTTTATCCTCCTCTACGAGCATGCTGAGATAAAGGTTCCTTTGCCTTGCTAAAGCAGTTACCATTCCTCCACCTGTTTTCAAAGACCTTGTTGAACTCTCATACACTGATATCTTTTATTAGGTTTATACCTAATTTATATTCTTTAACACCATTTTAGTGAACTCTTGAGAAGAGTTTATCTTTTGTAACCAGAAGCCTCATTGGTTTCCCGTTTGGACTGTGAGCAATATGAGAGAAAGACTATGTACCTCACTTTGGTGTTCTGTGTCTACTATAGTGCCTGAAACATGGCAGGTACTCAAGAACTGTTTGCTGAATTAATGGATGGACAAATGAATAAATGAACATGTCAGTGGATGGGTTAAATGAACATATGAATGACAGTACAAGACCCCATAGGCACTCTTATACTTCACTATGACTAGAAGGTAGTAGGTGTAAAGACGTATGCAGAAAAGACTGTTGATTTATAATTATTGCCATGACACTCCAAGAGAAGGCTTAATTTCATTCAGTCTACAGTTTAAAGCAGGGAAGTTTACAATAAAAAAATTTTAAAGATATTTAATAAAATGATTAAAATCTCTTACCTGTGGTATTCCCTATAGAATACTTCCTTTTTCAATGCTGACACACAAATGAGGTGTTACACATAATGACATTTAGAAAAATAATTTATAATCTATAATGACATTTAGAAAAATCTAAACCAAAGCAAGAGGGAGGGGATTTTGGTCTTGCAGTATCAGCAGTTTTTTTTCCTAATTATTGAATAAGAAGAGTAAAAGTAATTTTAACTTCTGGAAATGGCATTTGAAAAAAATGCAAAACTAAGAATAGATACATAATGCAAATGGTAAGCAACTATTTTCTTTTCTAAAAAAATACATTTAGAGTTCCCGTCAAGATGGCAGAATAGACAGTCCCTAACGTCACTCTCTCGCACAAATCAACCAATTTACAACTATAAAAATGTAACAACAGCCAAGCTGGGGCCACTAGAGCTCAGAGGAAGAGGAGGAGAGACCTACAGAGTTCATGAAGGTGGGAGAAACCATGATAAGAGAAAGAAAAAACTGCTCGGAGAGTTTCGGGCCGCAGCTGTTTTAAAGCTGGAGCTGTTGAGCACGCGGAGCAGGAGCCGGCAGAAGCCGCAGCTGTGCCCTTTGGATGGAGTTGCTTGAAGGCAGCAGGGGAGAAGAGGGCCTTGGTGGTCCCCAGGACAGCAAGACCACTAATAGGGTTCCCAAGGACCCACACAGGAGTGAGGAGCCAGAACAACTGAAAAAAGGAGCCAATCAGAGGCCAGTGAGTCATCGCAAGGGACCAGCGCAGGGCCTGTCCCATAGGAAGTGTTTAGAGCATCCACGGTAGGGGAGAAGGGCCCACTGGGAGAACACTGGGACACAGCAAGGACAGCCGATCTGCCCCCCAATCAGTGCACGAACACTCAGAGGAGACTGGGCAGGAATATAGAATTGCATGGGGTGCAGTTTGATGAAAATATTCAGGCCCAGATCAGAGTTTCTATACAACCCAGGTGCACCAGGTCCCTGGAGAGCCAGAAGTACCTATAAGGTCAACTATTAAACCCTGAGCTGCACAAAAAACCTTCCCTAGGGAATCAGCAGCAAAGCATCAATTCAGCTCAACCACGGAGCTCAAGGACTGGTCCCCACAGGAAGTTCCCCCATTTTAGAAGTAAGCAAAGGACAAAAAATTAGCTCCAGCCCAGGCATACCACCAGCACCTTGGGCCCACCAGGAGACCCAGGGCATCGGGCTGGGAACCAGACCCCCCAACAACCAGGCACACCACCAGTGCCAAGGAGCATGCCAAAAACATCACCTCCATGTGGGTGGCCCACCACAGCTAACACAGTAACCACAGCTGCCACGAAAGTGGCTAGACATCAGAACCACCATGCAGATGGTCCACCAGCTTTTGGAGTGCATTGACACAAGGAGAGTCACCGGCAGAGACCAAAGAAAAGAAGAGGATGTCTCTCTCCACAAAGCCCATTCCAGAGAGACAGAAGAAGCATCTGTTCTATGATAATATTGGGGGACCTGATCACACCTCTCAGCATGGGACAGATCATCTAAGCAAGAAATCAACAGAGTAACCATTACTCTTTTATTTTTTATTTATTTATTTATTTTTTTGTCTTTTTTCGTGTCCGGCAACGGATCGCAACCCTCAGTGTCGCGCCCATACCGGACCGGGACCGGCAACGGGATTGCAACCCTCGGTGTTGCGCCCGCCCCTCGCTCAGCCAGTGAGCAGTAACCATTACTCTTTTAGAAGGAGAGAAGAAATCTAGGGTTATCAGAGGTGGGAGCAGGAAGAGAGAAGGGGTTGGGGAGAGATTGGACAAGGGGCATAAAGAATAAGAACGATTTGTAACAATATATATGCAAGAATATATATATATGTATGCAACAATATATATTGATTTGATCAACATATGTCAATATTGAATCCCAAAAATATGTATAATCAATTCTGATTCAATTAAAAAAAATTATATTTAAAAAACTACCATCATCTCTTACTTGTCCTATGATAGTTTCCTAACTGAACTTCCCATATTCACTCTGGCCCTTCTTTAATCCCTCCATCACATCGCACCCAAATCACAAATGCCATCTCACATTTCCCTTTCAATTGGCCTCTACCCTCAGGATAAAGTCTAAATTACTTAACATAGCTCATAAGATCTTTGTTTGATCTTGCCCATTCACCTTTTCCCTCTGCCTGGAACACTCCCTATCCCTATAGGGTAGGTACTGTAACTTTTACCATTTTACAGATGGGGGAGGTGAGGCTTAGAGAAGTTAAGTAGCTTGCCCTAAGTCATGCAGCCAGTTGAGTGGCAGAGCCAGATTCCAACCTAGACAATCTGACTCCATAGCTGTGGCTCTTAAACCACCAAATGCCTCCAGGTTAGCTGTCATTTTCTCTAGGAATCCTTCCTGACCTCAAGATAGTCTCGTGATCTCTTTCTCCAAAATAAATTTTCAATTTGTCTATTTCTATCTTCAATGTCCAAGTCACCACTGTCTCTCACCTGGATTTTTTCAACATGCCCCTAAATAGCCTTCCTAATTCTACTTCTGCCTACTCCAATCAGTTATATATCAGCCAAAGAAATACTTTATAAATGCAAACACTTTCCACTGAACTTAGAATAAAATCCAAACTTTTCATACTAGCTGTATAAGCTCCTATATGATTTGGACCCAGCCTATCTTTCCAATTTCATCCTGCATGCTACCCTCCCTGTTGCTTATTACATTCCAGCTATGCTAGCCTTATTCTAATTACCTAAATATGCCAAGTTTTCCTCACCATGGGGCCTTTGTTCATACAGTACTCTCTTTCAGATATGTTCTATACACACACCACATTCTTTGTACATGGCCCCCTCTCTCTCTCTCTCTCTCTCTCTCTCGTACTTTAGGCCTCCAAGTATACGTCCGCTCCTCAGAGACATTCCTGATACCCAAACTAAAGTAAATCCTTCTTGTTAGTCCCCTTATAGGACTCTATTATTTTCCTTCATAACACTTTACACAGATTGTAGTTATGTAATTACATATTTACATTGATTTGTTTCTGGAACTGTTATCCATCCTAAACTACACTCTTCATAGGGTTACGGGTCATGTCCATTTTGTCCTCCCCTCTAATGCCTGGCCACAGTACCTGGTACATAATAAAGCAGTTAGTAAACATTTCGTTGAATACATTTGGTTTTATCCTGTAGCTTCCCTCTCACATCCCAGGAGTTCCCAGTTTGAGAAGCAGAGCATTAACTACAACTATATACCTTCTTAATCCTGGACTAAGAGCAGTATTGAAAATAACAAACCCAAGGATACATTTCTAGGCTGAAGTAACTAAAGCAAGAAATAGACTTTATATGCACAGACCTACAGTTAAAAAAAAAAAATCCCTTTCATTCTGATGTGAGGAATTTCCTACATTTTAGGAAGGTTTTTCTAATTTGTTTTTAAAATGGAAAGATGTTCCTTATTTGCTTTCAGTTATGCAGAAAGTTCAAGTGACCAACCCCTTCTTTTCCCAAGTCCCTGTAAGTCATTTTGCTGAACCTACGTATACATTTCATTGTTTATATAGTTACATATACACATCAATATGGATGTACATTCTATACATAGAGCTGTCCCATGCCAAACAAGAGATCATCAAAAGGATACAAACCCTAAACTAGGAAGTGAAGGAATCTGGAGGAAAGGGAGAAAAGGTATGAGGGGAAAGAGAAAAGAGGCAGGATGAAGGGAAGGCAGAAGCTAATATTAATATTGAATACACATCGTACACAGACCACCACTTGGTGGTTGCTTCCTGCTTCTCATACTTTCAGTCTTGGCCCTGCATCCATTTTTCACACAGCAGTCTAACTACGGCCTTCATAACCCTGTGTGATCTGGCCCCTGCCTACCTCATCCTGTGCCATTCTTCTCCTGCCTTACTGCTCTTCAGCCACAATGGCTACTCTTTGTTCCTAGAATGCTCTGAGTTCTTTCCTACCACAGGGCCTTTGCACTTACTCTTCCCTATGCATGAATTGCTTTCCACATTGCTTAGTCTCTTTCATCCTTTGGATTTTAACTCAAACATCACCTCCTAAAAGGGAAGTAAAGCCCTGACACACTCTATTTCCCTTATAGATATCACAATCCGAAACTTCACTGTTTGTGTATCTGCCCCCACCAACTCTATTAAGAGCAAGGACAGGAAATGTCTTGCTCACCACTCCATCTTCAGGATTTAAAACAGTGCCTAGTGCTATCGGCGCTGATAATATTGCTGAAATGAACGGTAGAGGTGAGTGTTCTTAATCTGCATATCAAGGATGAGGAGCCTGAGGCTCCGAAACGTTAGTGACTTGTCCCAAGTCAGACAGTGCCAGGCCTGAACCCGGCTGGCCAGTGCTATGTTCTATTTCACAGGTTAAGTTAACAATCGGCAGAGTGGGAATCTCAGCAAGAGCGAGGTGGTGACCACACGACCTAAAGTTCCCTTTCCTCCTCATACCCGGGGATATCCACACTTGTCTCCCGCCCTGCCCAACCGCGGGGCTCCCCCGCCCAGACCCTGGCGATGCGGGTCCCTTACTAGGTGGGGATGAGAAGGCATTTGAGGAGAGTCACCCCGAGCGCCAAAGCCGAAAACCAATTTCCACCACCCGTTGCACCTCCGAGCGCCGCCATTGCCGCAGCACCGCCCGCATCCGGCCAAGTTGAGCCAAATCCAGGCTCCCGCGCATGCGGGGAAGGCCCTCTGAGGTGCGGCCCGCGAGCCGCGCGCATGCGCCCAGCCGCTCAGCCAGCCGGAGGACCGGGCTCAGGCATTTAAACTTCCCGCCCACCGCCCTTTCATCACTCCCGACTCTCCGGCCTGAGAGTGCTCCACTGCGCCTGCGCAGGCCTTTGCGGCTACAGATTTGAGTTTTATATGCTAGTTCATACTTCCATTCAAATAATGGCTGGTCTTCTGCTCTGAGTCTTGATTTTGCCTGGCGTTGGGGATACCTAGGTGAGAAAAAACTTTCTTACCGTAGAGGCGTTCCCGTACTAGTGGAGGAGACTCAGAATTGTTACCCGAGAGTTACAGCACAGAAAAGCACTTGAGTACTGCAGGGGCGCCCAACCTGGACGCCTGAACTGGAGTATTAGAGCCAGGTGGAAAATGGCATGAGCAAAGATACAGAAGTGAAAAACATTCGGTGTTTCTGGAACTCTGAGGTAGGTTCTTGGCACTGCAGTTGCCTGAGTGGAACCCATCCTGGAGGCAGGCTAGTTTGTAGTGCTTCTCACACTTAATGAACAAATAACCTAAGGATCTTGTTAAAATTCAGATTCTGATTCAGTAGCCCTAACAAAATTCTAGGTCGTGTCAGTGCTGTTGGTACCTGAGCACAAGGGCTGAGACACATGCAATGGAACTAGTCTTGACTCCACATTGTACTGTGTGATCTTGGACAAATCCAAGATTTAAACTCTCTAAACCTGTTTCCTTTTTTTGTAAATAGGAGATAAAAATGATTTCTGCTTCATAAATTGGTTGTGAAGTTTAAATGAGAAGGCATGTAAATTTCTTGATATGATGGCAGAACAGAATAAATGCTCGATGTGTCAGAGAAGTAAAATATTTCGCTGAAAGATGTAGAGCAAGTAGATGGCAGTGTCACTCCCCTAATATAAGCTTATACTCTGTCACCCACGTGAGTATGATGCACAAATTTATACTCAGTCCCAGCCCTTTGCTTTCACCTCTAACTGCCTAGCTGGCATCTCTTAGATGTTTTAAAGGCACCTTCCATTAGTTTCCTATTGCTGTTGTAACAAATTACCACAAACTTGTAGATTGAAACAACACAAATTTATTCTCTTACAGTTCTGTAAAGGAGAAGTCTAAAATCAATCTCACTGGGCTAAAGTAGGGTTGGTTCCTTCTGGAGGCTCTGAGAGGAG